ACTTTTGAAAAATTAATTTTGTGTAAAAACTTAAACAATTGCTAAATGAATATTTAATTTTGCAATATGAAAATGTTTTGCCGCAAAATTATATGGTAAATATTTATGGTGTTATATATATATAATAAATTATGAGTATTTTATTGGGGTTTATTTAAAGTCATAAGGATAAAAAGGATGAGTTAAATTATAGCATTTAATAGTAAATAGCTTAAAATAAAATAAATAAAAAAGCTCTCATAAAATCTCCAGATAAAGATAAAAAATTGTGTACTTTTTGACAATAAACTACTCAATAGGCTAGTTCGTGGTCTAGTTCGTAGTCTAGTTCATAGACAAGTCCATACACTACTTCATAGACTACTCTATAATAGTGGGACTAGATAGGGACGCCATGTCTAGTCCTTTGAATAATCCATAGACAAGTCTAGATTAGTCAATATACTAGTCCTTAGACTAGTCTAGAATAGTGAATACCAGTCAATAGATTAGTCTGTAGACTAGAAAATAGAGTTAGTAGACTGATCCATAAATTAGTCAATAGACTAGTCCATATAGACTAGCCAATAGACTAGCCAATAGATTAGTCCATAGACTTGTCCATGAACTAGTCCATAGACTTGTCCATAGTCAATAGACTTGGCCACAGTCAATACACTAATCCACAGTCTATTGGCTAGCTTATGGACTGGTCTATGTGCTGGTCTACGCACTAGTCTATGGACTAGTCTACGGACTAGTCTATGGACTAGTCTACGGACTAGTCTATGGACTAGTCTATGGACTAGTCTACGGACTAGTCTACGGACTAGTCTATGGACTAGCCTATGGACTAGTCTATGGACTAGCCTATGGACTAGTCTATGAACTATACTCTTGATTAGTCTATTAACTAGTCTACTAGTATATTGGTTAGTATATGACTAGTTCAAATACTAGTCCATAGGCTAGTCAATAGTATAGTCTATAGACTAGTTCATAGACTAGTCAATAGTATCCCGTATACTAATTCATAGACTAGTCCGAAGATTAGTTAATAGGTCAATAGACTCGTCCATAGACTAGTCAATAGTCTTGTCCATAGAGTAGTCCGTATATTAGTTACTACATTTGTCCATAAACTAGTTAATAGACTAGTGGTCCGTTGACTAATCAATTCACTAGTCAATAGATTAGTCCATAGACTTGTCAATGTAACAGTTAATAGACTAGTTATTAGACTTGTCAATAGACTAGTTAATCGACTAGTTTAAAATTTTACCCCAAAAGTTAAATTTTATTTAATAGTTATTAAATTTATAAATGAATAAATTATATTACTTAATTTATTTATAAAATGTTTAAACATTTTAAACATTAAAATTTAAAACCAACGCTCCCCAAATAAAAATCAAACGATGTTCCTCTAAAAAAAACTCTTAAAATTTTATGTTCTAAAACAATATTATGCATCATTATTTTCCACACAGAAATTCTAGACATTTTCCGGTAATTATGCTACAATTTGTTTTAAAAATTCAACTGCCTGCTGTTTTTTTTTTTTGGCAATCCCTAGAGTACATGCAAAAAAAAAACTGAAAACAAAATAAATAAAAAACCTTAACAACATTCACCAAGCAACATGTTGCTGAAACACCAACTGTTTATAAACAACTCAAAATGTCAATGTTTATAAAACAGATAACTCGAGGGGATTAAGCTTTTGGCGCGTATGGTATGCGGTAAATGAAGAAAAACAGGCAACTGCAAAAAAAAAAACAAGAAAATGAACAACAACCAAGAAACTTAAATATAAAAAATATTTCACATATTTTACTTGTTGTTGTATGTTGTTGCCGCATTTGTACAATTCAACATCTTATTTTATCAAACTGAAAACAAAAAAACAGACGAAACAGATTATTTGCCGGCTGTTCAACATCGCAATCATCATCATGAGATTGTTGTTGTCATCAAAGACTGGACGACATCTTCGTCATCATCAGCACAATCAACATTATCATCATCATTATTAACATCATGCGACAACAGCAACAAGTATAAGAAGACAAAAAGTTGATGAAACCTGTAAAACTGAATCTGAACATTTTTGGTTGTAACAAGTTGCCAGCTGCTGGGCCACATTCGTTCATTTGTTCGTTCATACTCGTCCTACCACCACGTTTATGTTTGTTATTTTATTCCCTCATAACAGCTTTTTAATACAAATCGTGCCTGATGTTTGTGTCTGTTTGCGTATGAGTGTGTTTTGGTATGAGTATTTGTTGCTTATACGGCCAAAAGTTATTTCATATTGTCGTAGTACTTACTCCTCGTATTTCTAATAGGAATGTGTGATGCGACATTGTTGGTAAAAAAAAGTACTTTTTTTACAAACCTTATCGAAAAAGTATTTCCCGGAAATTTCCATTCTGTGTTCTTGAAGGATATAGTATCTGGAATAGTATCACAAGATATTTGGATCTAATTTCCACAAAACCCTGGCAATAAAAGAAAAAGTGTTCCAGCAATTAACTATTCATTCCCTCTGTATATGGAATAATTTGTTGACTAGTCTATTGACCAGTCTATTGACCAATATATTGACTTGTCTGTTGACCAGTCTATTAACTAATCTATTGACTAGTCTATGTGTTAGTCTACAGACTTTTCTATTGACTATTTATTTAGTCTATGGGCTAGTATATGTAGACTAGTCTATGGACTAGTCTACTGATTAGTCTATGGACTAGTTCATATACTAGTCAATAGATTAATTGATAGGCTAGTCAACAAACTAGTCAATAGGACTAGTCTATGAACTAGTCTATGGACTTGTCTATGAACTAGTCTATGGACTAGTCTATGAACTAGTCTATGGTCTAGTCTATGAACTAGTCTATGGACTAGTCTATGAACTAGTCTATGGACTAGTCTATGGATTAGTCTATAAACTAGTCTATTGAATAGTCTACGGACTAGTCTTTTTGACTAGTCTACTGATTAGTCTATGGACTAGTTGATATACTGGTCAATAGACTAATTCATAGGCTGGTCGATAGTATAGTCAATAGACTAGTTCATATGCTAGTCAATAGACTAATTGATAGGCTAGTCAACAGACTAGTCAATATGACTTATCCATAACTAGTCTATGGACTAGTCTATGGACTAGTCTATGGACTAGTCTATTAACTAGTCTATGAACTAGTCTATGGATTAGTCTATGGACTAGTCTATGGACTGGACTATGAACTAGTCTATGGACTAGTCTATATACTAGTCTACTAACTATTCTATGGACTATTCTATGAACTAGTCTATGGACTAGTCTATGGAATAGTCTATGAATTAGTCTATAGACTAGACTATGGACTAGACTATGAACTAGTCTATGAACTAGTCTATGAACTAGTCTATGGACTGGACTATGAACTAGTCTATGGACTAGTCTATGGATTAGTCTATAAACTAGTCTATTGAATAGTCTACGGACTAGTCTTTTTGACTAGTCTACTGATTAGTCTATGGACTAGTTGATATACTGGTCAATAGACTAATTCATAGGCTGGTCGATAGTATAGTCAATAGACTAGTTCATATGCTAGTCAATAGACTAATTGATAGGCTAGTCAACAGACTAGTCAATATGACTTATCTATAACTAGTCTATGGACTAGTCTATGGACTAGTCTATTAACTAGTCTATGAACTAGTCTATGGATTAGTCTATGGACTAGTCTATGGACTGGACTATGAACTAGTCTATGGACTAGTCTATATACTAGTCTACTAACTATTCTATGGACTATTCTATGAACTAGTCTATGGACTAGTCTATGAACTAGTCTATAGACTAGTATATTGACTAATATATGGACTACAACAACATAGGCTAGTCAATAGTATAGTCAATAGACTATTTCATTGACTAGTCAATAGTCTATTCCCTTTCTATTCCATTATTCCAAATGGTCGTATGGGATTCTCTCATCTAATGCTTATCATTATCCGCAGATATCATCCTAATTGCCTTCTTTCTGTCGGAATATTTATTAACCTCTGCTGGCGCCGCATTTAGCCGAATCAATTTTACATATTCCGTGATAACAAGGTCTTCCTTCTGGAAGCTAGTTTTGTGATTAGGAAGACGGTAGTATATATCGTTTTCCGGATTTTCAATATGGATCCCCAGTCGCGTTTTGTCTCCCCGTTTGATTCATAAATTACATTTATTCTCAAAGTGCAAAGCTGGTACTCCGAGGGGAAGCTATGGTCCCTTAATAAACATTTTTTTAGGGTCATATAGCTTCCATATGAGAATTTAAACCACTTTCAAATCTTTCAGATCTTCTTTATTATAAAGTATCTGTTTTCATGTAGAGGGGCTCAATCACATAAAAGTGGTTTACCATCTATAGAGAAAATTTCAGATTCAGTATAATTTTATAAAAAAAAAGTACCAAAATATCGTCAATCTGGTATAAATAACACAGCAGTTGCAAAAAGTACCATTTAACCATTGTACTTAAAAAAAGTACCCACATTCCTTTAAACAATTACATTCTCTGTTTACTCGCATTTAAAATATTCGAAGAACTTTTGTTTAACTATGAAATTTTTGTTGTTATTAGTAACGTTGTTGTTGCTATAGTTTGTTGTTATAGCCCGTAGTAAGTATCTGTTGGATACACGTTTGTTTTCATTTACCATGCGAATTTCAGCTCCACCGTGATTTTCTTTCGTTTAAACACAAAACATCTGACGTTGGGCTGGCTACAACAACTACAACAGCAACAAAACAACAACAACAACAACAACGAAAATGAGCTGTCGACTACGACTACGTGAACGATGTTGGGTATATGTTGCTGTTTGTTGCGAATGAGTGAATGTGAATTTTATTCATGTTGTTGTACTACGTTTGTTGCAAATCTTTAACCTGTCATTTTTATATAGATTTAGTCTTCGTTCGGCATTGAATGCGGGTGGTTCATGATAATTTTCGAACAAAAACAAATATCGCATCGCTTTGAAATATTTGTAAACTAAAATACTTTACTTTTACAAGTTTTTTTACGATTTTTGTCGTCATTTTCAAAAGCCAAGTAATATTTACAACAGAAATTGTAAACTTTTTGTTATGTGTTGTATGTGTGTGTGTGAGAGTAGAGGCCATGACAGTAGAGTATTTATTTGTTATTTTTGCTACCGGCATTTTATTTTTATTTTCTTTTTTTACGATTTTTCTTTACTGGAAAATTTTTTAATTGTATCGTTGGTATATTTTAATGCGACAAAGTAAACAAGTGTGAGAGTGCCATGTGTGTGTTATTTTTTTTTGTCTACAGCTAAACAGTATGTTGGTGTATGTATGTATTTTGGTGTGTGAGAACCAGAAACGGAAATAAAATTGTTTTTTCAGTTGTTGCCTTTGTGTGGCTGTTTTTTTGTCGTAAGCTTTTCATTTTCTATAATAAAAGACCGTTACGTTTTTTTCCTGCTATTGTCGTTACATATATTTTTTTTATAATTTGCTATGTGTGTTTGTGTGTGTGTAAATGTTATTGCGGGTAAATTTGTGTAAATATTTAATGTAAATTGTGTTAATAGTGTTGTCGTTGTCGATTTCGATGTCGTTATGTTGCGGGTTATTTCTTTTGACATTATTTTTTCCGCCCATTCTTTCTTTAATGTTTTTGTCGTTGTACGTTTGTCCTTGTTGTGTGTATGTGAGAATATTTATAATTTAATTAAATGTTAAATCTTACAGGATCTTTTTTACTACCCAAATAAATCTGTATTTTGTTACTTTTAATGTTTGTGTGCCAAAAACAAAAAAGAAATTCAATAAACATTTTGTATTAATGGCCCTTTTTGAATCAATGATGATTATAATTACAAGTCTTACAAGTGAAATCTATTTAAAAAAAATACATACATAAATATTTTATGTGTGAAGTGAAAAATAAACAAATCTTTACAGAAAATTCAATTAAAAACAAAAAAATATATATAAGGAAATATAAACAACTTAATAAGGATAAATGGATTTTTGTAACATCAAAAGGAAATCATTAAAAGTAAATTAAAAGGTAAGACAAAGGACATTTAATATTTATAGAAAAACCAATTAAGTGTATAAAATCAATTTAATTAAAATTTACAAGAAATTCTATACAGTTTTATATTTTAATTGAAATTTTTAATATCATACAGAGTGTGTGATGCAAATTCCAAAAAAAAAGGATATCATTTTAGAATCTTTTGAATTTTTAATGAAAAATTTCATTACTAAAGAAACATCGAATTTTTAATAAAAAGTTTAAATTTTAATAAAAACTTAAATTTGGGTTCCATACCAATTAGAGACTCTAATAAAAGGAGCGCATAACAGGTTCAATAGTGGCCTAGGTGTATTTCTTCCGATCTGCTGTAGCATACATACATCCATTTAAACAAACTAAACAATTTTAGTCAAAATTTAATTTTAGATAAAAACTTAGTTCTTTGCATAAAACTAGTTTTTAGAGAAAAATCTAACCAAGAAACCACCCAGCTAAAACTACGTAATGACTATCAATTGTAATTACTTACCTAACAACATACTTTCAATGACTACTACATATCGTCTGGATTACATAGAAGTGGTCTAATAAGTTCTGACTATAATGTGTTATATAAGTACTTTCTAATTCATTAGGCATCTTACCAGTGAAGATATAGAAGCTGTATAAGTTTTTCAAGCGATTTACAATGACTACCCTTTCTAATTACTTGTAATCGCTTGTGGTAAATAAAAATCTAACTCTTCCCTTGATTTAAAAAAGTAATTACCAAGTTCTTTATTATTAAAAATTAAATTGTTTATTAGCCCCAACATTGCCTACAGCTCATTTAATATTTAAACCTAAAGTCTTAACCATTAATTCTTTGAAAGCTTAACTTTTCCTTTAACTCAAACCATTTTTTCAAATACTAATAGCTACACTAAAAAACTATACATTTAACCTTTTTCCGTCACTTCCTATTCATCTCACCCTATCTTACGTATTTCAACTATTTGATTTCCTTAAACTTTTAAGCGGCTTTAGTGTCATTTGATTATTTTAAAACGTATTTTTACAATTTATCTTTACAAAATCTACCTGAAGTATTTCTTCTATATGTAACAACAACGTACAGAACAAACAGTTAGCGAACCATATATGAAAATGAGGGGCATGTTTCAACATAATGTTATTTACTTTCAGTTAATTAAAATTAACTTCACACTCTTCATTTTACACACAACTTTCAATGGAAATTCTTGAAAGAAAACCAACAACAAAAAACCTCAATAAGTACATAGTTTTATCTGTAATGTTAGAACGAATAAAAAAACGACCATAAATGGTCTAATACTATAACTACTTACTACATAGCATTACTTGTGTATGTATTTACAATTAAAAACTAAACTCACTAAATACCACTATGTATTATGTTCTATATTAGATATGCACTTTGTTACAAAAGTCTTAAAAAGTTTACAAAAAAATATAGTCTACTCTATAGTTTCTATTATAATCTAGTTTATAGTCTAGTATATAGTCAGGTCTATTAGTTTAGTAGATAGTTTGACTATAGTTTAGTTTATAGTTTGAACTATAGTCTGGACTATAGCCTACTCCATAGTATAGTCTATAGTCTGAACTATAGTCTATATTCTGGACTATAGTCTAGTCTAGTCTATACCCTGGGATATTCTATAGTCTGGACTATAGTTTATTCTATAGTCTGGACTATAGTCTAATCTATAGTTTGTATTATAGTCTAGTTTATAGTCTCGTCTATTAGTCTAGCAGATGACTATAGTTTAGTTTATAGTTTGAACTATAGTCTGGACTATAGCCTACTCCATAGTCTAGTCTACAGTATTGACTATAGTCTATTGTATAGACTAGTCTATAGTCTGGGCTATAGTTTAATCTATAGTCTAATCTATAGTCTGGGCAATAGTTTAGTCTATAGTCTGGTCTAGTCTATTCTATAGCGTGTATTATAGTCTAGTCTATAGTGTGTACTATAGTCTAGTCTATAGTGTGTACTATAGTCCGGGTTATAGTCTAGTCTGTAGTCTAAACTATGGTCTATAGTCTAGTTTATAGTCTGGACTATAGTCTAGTCTATAGTTTGTATTATAGTCTCGTTTATATTCTGGTCTATTAGTCTAGTAGATAATTTGGCTATAGTTTAGTTTATAGTTTGAACTATAGTCTGGACTATAGCCTACTCTATAGTCTAGTCTACAGTCTGGACTATAGTCTAGTCTATAGTCTAAACTATAGTCTAGTCTATAGTCTGGGCTATAGTCTAACCCATAGTCTGGACTATAGTCTAGTCTATAGACTATAGTTTAGTCTATAGTGTGGACTATAGTCTAGTCTATAGTATGGACTATAGTCCAGTCTATAGTTTGGTCTATAGTCTAGTCTATAGTCTGGACCATAGTCTAGTCTATAGTCTGAACTACAGTCTAGTCTATAGTCTGGACTATAGTCTATATAGCGTAGACTATAGGCTAGTCTATAATCTGGACTATAGTCTAGTATAAAATCTAGACTATAGCCTAATCCATAGCTTATACTAATCCAGTCAATATTCTGTGTTATATTCTAGTCTATATTGTATATCTAGACTATGGTCTGGAATATAATCTGGACTATGGTATGTAGTCTATACTCTGGACTATAGTTTAGTTCATACTCTGGACTATAGGCTAGTCTATAGTCTGGACTATAGGATAGTCTATGGTCTCGATTCTGGTCTATTGTCTGGACTATAGGATAGTCTATTGTCTGGTCTATAGGCTAGTATATTGTCTGGACTATAGTCTAGTCTATTGTCTGGCCTATAGTCTGGATTATAGTCTGGACTATAGGCTAGTTTAAAATCTGGAGTATAGCCTAATCCATAGCTTATACTAACCCCGTCAATATTCTGTGCTATATTCTGGTCTATATGGTATATCTAGACTATGGTCTGGAATATAATCTAGACTATGTTATGTACTTCAGTCTGGTCCCCTTCATTTAGTCTATTATACAGTTTTCACTATATTTTCTATAGTCTGGACTCTAGTTTCGTAATACTCTTTATATTATTAGAAAACTCCACTTTCTGTCCTTGGTGATTCACGTAAAAAATCGAAAAATTATACAAACCCCTTTCCTGATCCTTTTTACCAGTTTTAAAGCAAACAATTTTATATCTTTTATCATAATATTAAGAACTGTGGATCTCTATTGGTTTTTTGACACCAACCTACTATATCCAGTATATCTATGTATGAGTGATCCTATTCATATAAAATATATCACCTAATTTTTTTAATAAAAGTTCCTTTTAACTGCAAACAAACAAACTAAAAGCATACATAATCACATATTTAAATGTTATTCTACAAGTGTATGAGTGTATGTATGTGTGCCTTCCTGTCTTCGTCATATAAAAACGTAACATAGAAATTTTCACACATACAACCGTTAAATAAACATGAATAAACGAACGACTCACTGACTGACTGACTATTTTTCAATAGTTGTTGACTGACAATCATGATTACGTTGATGACGAGGGCGATGTCAATGATGTATCTCTCTCTCTGCCGTGTCTGTCGTGCCTTTTAGCCGGTATTGGTTAGCGGAGCTAAAGCTTTAACTGGAGATGCTGTGACGATGATGATGACGTTGATAATGGTGATGAGAATAATGTTGATGTTGGTGACACTAATAGTGTTTGCTAATAAATTATTCATAAACGTTCTTGTATGGATGGCTACAAATAGCATCCCATAGATAAATATTTATAGAAACTATAGAACAAAATAGCGAACGAGTGATAGAGAGTGTTAGATGAGAGTAAAAATAGAAAAAAAATTTGTTAAATACAAAACAATTTTGTGTTGGGAATAATAGGGAAAATAGTTTTGTGGAAAAAAAGCCTAAACAATTTGAAAATATTTAACACTGTTTAATTAAAAACAAAATTGAAGGTAATAGATCATTTTCGTCGCCATTAGCGATAACAACGAATCATAAAGGAAAACTTTGACTATAAAATTTATATGAGAAAAAAGAGAGAAGATAAACGATTTTTTGTTAGAATATACTTTTTGTCATACTAAACAGTGGAGCAGATTGCAGACTGCTAATTAGAATTTTAACTCAAGATTGTAAATAACAAACAGAATACATATTTGTTGAAGGCTCCTTGTAATAAGAGAGATAAGTTGAATAAGGGATCTGCACATTTCAAAAATTCTATATAAATATTTACACAGTAGGCAAGATGCCACGCCCACATACCACATAAGTATTAAAAGTAGCATATCTTAGAAACTGTAACAGCAAGAAATCTTTTATATAATTATATATGACAATTTTGACATATGAATATCTGGGGACAAAATGGACAGACTATCTATAGTAGTAGTGGCACCTCCCCTGTATAATGAAAATATTAAATCACTATATCTGAAAAAATATAAGAGTTAGAGTCCGAAAAAATATGTCGGAGCCGGAACTTGGATGTAGTTATGAATATCACAGACCGACAAAATTTGAAAAAGTCGAAACCCTAGGACCAAGTTAGTGAGTCAGATATTAGGGCTTTATTTTAAAGTTGATAGAATGGACTTTCAGATGGCATAAAACATTTATAAATAAAATTGTCTTGGCGCTGTAATAACGTATCGAAAAGGGCCAAAAATGGTGTTTTTCAAATTTCAAGACATGATATCTCCAATCCCAGATGTGAGGGAGAAAATATTCGGATTTAGCACGGCTCAAAAATGTACTTTGGTGACTGCGTTAAATATTTGTCGGCCTGTATATTTAAAACAAAATGGGCAGACTAAAATTAGAGGTCGTGGCACCTCCCTTAAGAATTAAATGAAAATTTTTTATATCTGGGAAAGCACCAGTGCTAAAATTCTCAAATTTTGCACGGCCAACATTAGAATTCATAAGAACAATTTGGGGGAAAATGTCTGTACTAACAACAGGGGCGTGGTACCTCCCATATGTACATATATAATACAAAAAATCGTATA